ATCTGGTGCCAATATACTAGAGTTAAATGGGGAGAGGACTATCAAAGCTTGACTAATATATTAAGAATAGTCAAGCTTCGCCTAAACAAAGAGATTAATTCGCTAAAAGCTAGTGCATTAAGGTTTCCATCTAAAAAGAAAAAAAGGATATGTAAATTCTTCAAAATATAATTATTGATAAACAAATTTTAATAAATGAGCACCATACGTGCTCCTAGATATTAGCATCAGGGATAAAAAAAAAAAAAAAATATGTAAAAAACGATTTTATATAGTAGAAAATAGATAGAAAATATAGATTAATAAAAATTAGAAGGTGACAATAGCAAGTAGCTTGGAATTTGGAAGGTCTAAGGGATTTAACATAGTTGGTCTCCTTAACATCAAGTTGTTTCTGTGCAAGGTTGATACTTAGTTAGGCAATTTGTTCAGTCAAGGTTTTGATAGCTTGGTCTGTTTCAGTATTCTTATTAGATGCTATTATGTATTCAGTTTTTTATTTTTTTTGCACTAGTTATAGCAGCATTTAAGATAGCAGGCTCTAATACTTGTATATTAATAGCATATTCAGGATGTAGTCCCTGAATAAAAAGTTGAATGACAAAAGCAGCAGAGAAAGCATTTGCTCTATTAATTTTCTTTTTTAATTCTCTAAACCTATTCACATATGTATCTACAGTATCATTGCCTTGTTTAATCTCAAAAAATTGTTTTTGCCATATAGCTTTCTGTTTAGAGATATAAAATCTAGTTCAGAAGAGATGTTTGAAACTTCAGTCTTAATAGGCATTGTTATCAAAAGCATTAGGAACAGAGTTAAGAATGGTATACTAATCAAGAGCAACTCCTTTAAGAAAAACAGAGGCAAGTTCAAGTTTCCTAGTATTGTCTCATCTGTTTGCAGTAGTAGCTTTTCTAAATTCTTCAAACTATTCTTCTGAGTCTTGAGTTCCATCTCCTCAGAAGTATTCAATCCTTGTCCTAAGGCATTGGCAAAGTTAGTTATTGCTATAGTAGCAGTAGTCAAAGCAACTTTAGCTATTGCAAGTTGTTGTTATAGTAGAGGTAGAAGGTTTATAAGTAGTAGTAAATTAAGAAGTGAAGGAGGTGTAGTAAGGTCTTCAAATATTAATAGAGTATCAACTAAAGTTTGAGGACTTCCTAGTTCAGAGTATATCTGAGTTGTGAGAAGGTTTCACCAATAGAGGTAGTATTCTGATTCAAGATAATAATTGTAATGATTATAGTATGTAGGGTCAGGAGTAGATACATTGTAGTGGGTATATCAAGCAAAGAGTTAACTTATAATTTCTCAGGAATTGTAGTTGTTATCTCAATAAGTGCAGCTGAATATAATATCTTGACAAAGAGTTCTAGCAGTAGTTGAGTTATGTATCTGGTCTAAGTTATAAAATAAGTCTTGAGTTCTTCTACTATAGATTAAAGTGTTATAGGTTCATTGGTACTAGTTTCAAAATCTTCCAAAAGGTTGGTATCAGCTTGTTCTTCTTGTTGAGTAGCAGTCAATGCAAGTTGTGTCAGATGTGAGTGTTTGAATAACTTGGATAGCTCTGTAGTCTTCAGTTAAGTGTTCTTTGCAATGTGCTTGGATAGCTTCTTGGTGAAATTGTTGTATAGTATAATTTATATAACTTGGTATAAGTCCTTCTCTTATCCTAAGAGATATCTTTAATCTTTCTTCTCTGTTGTCTAGGAATGTTACTTCTAGAAATATTCTTTATAGTCCAGAGATGTTTTGTCTGGTTATCTTCTTATTATCTTCTAAGTATGTTACTTCTAAGTATCTTGTTTTCTTCCTTAAATTATTTCCTTCTTTTCTTTTGAGAATCTTTCATCCAGGTATTTTATCATCCAGAAATTTTTCATCTGAGAATAGAATTACTTATGCCTACACTTTGGCTCATGAGTAATTTGCTTTAGAGTTCTTACTCTTTACTTTCAACAAGTAAAGTACTCTGTCTTCTCTTGGTTGAAGGAATGTTTCTTTCTCAATAGTTTTTCTTTTTGTAAATAGATTCAGCTTTTCTATCAATAGTTTTAGTTTTGTTTTTGTTAATAGTTTTAGCTTTTCTTTTAGCAATATTTCTTTAGCTTTTTGCTAGAAGGCACCAAATATTACAGATAGCATAACCTTCTTAGTACACTATAAGTAACAGTGATATAGCTATCTAATTACTTTGAGAAGTAGTAGCCAAAAGAGAAGTTTCTTTAACTAATTGTAAAGACAAGTTCTACTCTACAAGAGGCAGTTTGTTTAGGTTTATTTAATAACAATATATTTATTAATTATAAATATTTAGAGTCAAGTACAAGAGAGGAAGGGAGTTGAGGTCTAAACAACTAAAGGGCAAAAGAGGAATTCTACTTGTATTTATAACTTTTAGCAAGCATCATATAAGTGTTAGCAAAGCATTATGTAAGCAACTTGTGCAAGCATCACTTAAGCATCACTATTAATAGTTTGGCACTGTAATTTCTTGCTACAGTCTATATTTTCTTCAAATATTATATAATAACTTTGGATATAACTTATATCATCGTGTAGCTAATATTCTTGGTTACAAAGTTACCTAAAGGTATTTTTTGCTATGAATACTTCTTGAGATACTTCATTTAGAGGTAAATGTTTACAACAATCTACTCTAAAATATCTAATATAATATAAGAAATAACTAATTACTAATAAATATAACTAATAATATAACTAAAATATAATAATAATAAATAACTAAAAATCTATCTTATAACAGTATATACATTTTTTCTCTAGATAGATGGGTTTTTGCAGCAAGTAAATTATTACTAAGTTTTGTAGCAAGAGCTAGAATAATATTATTAGTTGAGATATTTAGAAGGTCCTAAATATCAAATATTAGAGCATTCTTATTCTTAGAATATATTCTGTATCTTGAAGTAGTATTAACAAATGTAGCTTTGTCATCTTTTAATTTAAAGAACAAGTCAGACTATTATCTATCTTTGGTAAAGTTGCTTTTTGCTTGATCAGATTGTTAATTATCTGATTCTTTATTAGATTTATTTGCATTTGTTGTGTTTGACAAGTCATGTATAGTGTTTATATGTTTTTGTTTGTTTTTTAGGTTGTCTTTTATCTCACTTGTTTTATTTTTTTTGTTATTTTCTATAGAAAAAATTTCTTTGTTTTTTCTTTTATTCTTCAGAAGAGAATCTTCTAAGTTAGATTGAGTATTTTCTTCTCTTTGTTCACTTGTTTTGGAAGAGCTTTGGTTATCTCTATAAGTTTTCTTAGGAATACTATTATTTGTTTCCTGGTTTTCTTTAGTTAGCAAAGACAAATAAAAGATCTTCTTTTTGGTTCTTGTATCTACTGGTTTAAATCTTTTTGTTGATGAACTACTCATAGTTAGAAACAGAGATTTTCTTTTCTTTGTAATTAGAGCAGATGCAAATTTTGTAAGAGTTTTGTAAAGATTTTTGGTAAAATTTTAGTAGTTTGTTAATTTTCAGTAATGAACTAGAAAGAGTTTTTTTTATATACATCTTTTCTTCTAGATCTTCACCATAAAGAGCTTTCCTTAATGCACCTTTCTCAAGTGATAGGTCTAGCTTTGTTAATGCTTCAAGGATTGTTAAGTAAAAAGTTTCTTCTTTTAGGTTCTTCTAAATTTTTTGATAGATTTTGCATTCTGCTAGATGATGCAAAGTTTTGTCATCTCTAAAACATGCTATACACTTTTAGCTCTTGTATAGTTTGGGTTTCTTAGATAACAGATATACTTTGTTGGTAATATATTATTAATACATTTTATACAAAACATAAGGTCTCTGCTTTTCTTTAGGCTGATATACTTTTTCCTTTGTCATTTCTTAAGAGCTTCCTAGGTATTTTTCTAACTTAGCTCTTTGCCTGAGTTAATTCCTTGGTTTGAGACTACTATATCTGCTGTTTTACTTAGTTCAACTATTGCTTAAATATTATCTAGTGTTGTCTCAGATATTTTGAGTATATTGTTACTCTTAATATCTTCTTTAGCCAAATAGTCTGCATGCTTATTCTATTTGTTATCACTATGATCTTTGACTTTGTGTAGTGACAAATTTAGACTTTTAACTATATAGTAGTCTTTTATCTGTCTCAACAAAATTCAACAAACTTCTATTTTTCATTTTAAACTAGCTTCGTAACTTGTTTATATCTATACACTTTTTACTAACCTCTATTGCTACTTTGCTATCAGTATATATATATACTTGAGACTTACAAGGTACTGTTAGCAAAGCTGCTCATATAGCTTCTAATTTTGCGTAAGTTGATAAAAGCTAGTTTTTTATACTACAGCTAAAACTAATATTACTACTATCTCTTTCTCATTTCTAACTATTCAACTAGCTTCTATTCTACCTGATTCTAACTCTCTACTACTTCCTGCTAATATACTATCTGTATAATACCTAAAGATCTTCATCTCTTTTAGCCTTTTATATATATTTACTAAAGTCTGGTAATCTTAGTGTAGTGGTTAGGTTGCTGAACCACCATGCAAGAGGTCTAGGGTTCAAATCCCACTATATACAGAATTGAATAATTATCTAGACATCTGTATCTAACTTACAGTAAAACTCTACTTATTTTTGAGGTTTAACTTTGTAAATCACGTTGTACTAATGACAATTAGGGTATTAGAAATGTGACAAGGCATTCAGTGAGGTGTAATATTACATGAATAAATCTTGATAGGATCTATGGACAGAGGACTTGTATGGTAAAAATCCAGAGTTAGGTGAAGTAGTATAGATTTTGATAGTTATACCAGTTTACACCTAATCTGGTGAAAGGAATTTGTAGCTGAAGAATATGACTGAGCGAATATGAGTAAGTCTGTTATACAAGGTTATATAGCAACACCAACCTGGCTTGGTGGCTAACTGGATTAGGAGGATCTGTCTCATGAAATATCTGAAAATATAGAGGACCGATCTGGTAGAAGGTCACAGTAGGAACTGGGTTTGTACGAACATCGAACAAGGGTATATGCAAGCTAGATTGGGATATAGTATAGCATAGTTGAGTACTACAATACCTATTGATTAGAAAGTTGGTGAAGGGGTACCTAAGATGGGCCTAGGCTTCGAATCATAAAGTTTGTAGACTCATATCAGCTCTGTTGATGTCTTCTAAAAATAGTAGTATGGAGTTAAGTAAATTTAGATAATAAATGATAGCGAGATAGGAATGGCATATAGCTATAGAGTTTAAATAGGGAATTTTCAAATAAATTTCAGGTATAGTAGCTAGTGTAGAACCTTCAAATGGACTACTTAAATTAGATAATCTAAAGTTGTACGTGTGGCTAGTTGTACTCTCACATATGTAATCATTGCTCAAAACTATCTATACTAATAAAAATCTCACTGATAGCATGTTTATCAAAGTAAAAAAAAAATATATATATATATATTTACTAACTCTTCTTCGATTCTTTTGTTCTTTACTACTCTTTGTATAATTGCACTTTCAAGGCTAACTACTATAATTTTAATGAAACTTCTTGGTTTATCTTATCAATTGTACAAAGTTCTTTCTTCTCAGTATATGCGAATAATAGTACTCTTAATTCTACTTCTTTTTTATTATTTTTCTTTATCTTAATAGCTTGGGACCCTTCTTCATATCTAATACTGACTAGGCACTTATTATTGTTAGTATTTCCTATATTGTAATGACTACACTTAGCAAAAGAGGAATCTTCTGCTAATTGGCTCATATATCTCCAGTGTTCAGCTACCACAAGCTTTTCTGTTTTCCTTACTATTTTTCCTAAATAGAATTCTTCTCTTCTTTTAAATAGCACATATTCTCTTTTCAGTCTGTTTTTAGAAATTTCTTGTGATTGTATTTTTATTGCTTCTCTGTTAGAGCTATCTACTTTATAGGAGTCTTGTACTTCTCTAGAGCTATTCTCTTTTAGTATTCTCTCTTCAAGTTTTTTGAACCAGCTTGGAGTATGACCTTTTGTTTTTTCATCTCTTATATGCTTTACTTGGTCTCAGGTTAGCAGGTGATTTCCTGTACTATTTATAAGCTGTTCTAGTATAAAAAAATTTATCCTGTCTAGATTTATATAGAATCAGAGCTCTTTTATATTCAGCAAACTTGATATTTCTATTTACTTAATATTAAGAGCATCAAAGTTTTCTAAGATCTAGCTGCTTCATGCAATACTTTTATTACCAGATTATGTTCTAGAATTGACTTGCTGAACTTGCAGTTCTCACTTAGAGAACTACATAGATATTTGCTTTGTAGCTATCCTTCTCTGATTCTTAGTCTTGTTGTTGCTTCTAGAGATTCTTGCTAGTTTAAATGTAGAGTAAGCTCTGTGAGATAGTGAGCAAGCTGGTTCTGCCAGATTGATCTTATGCCTAAAAAGCTTATGTAATCACAAATTGAGTTTGCTGTTAACTTAGCTAGCTCTAGTTTGTTTTTTATTAGAGTTCAAATTGGTCCTAGTAGATTTTCATATTTTGATTTACTTACAAATATTGTTTGTAGTCTGTATTCGATACTTGGCAGCAAGATACTATTGTTTAGATAGATAAGCTGACTCACTGATGCTCTTTTCTACTTTATAGCTTTGCACATTCTGCTTACTTTATTTCTTATAATATTTAAGCTATGATATTGTTTTCCTTTTCCTGAGATCTAAACATCTAGATGTCTTACTATATCTTTGTCTTTTTTTGCAAAGACTTTATCCTAGTTTTTTCCTACTTTGATTACTAGGTTTTCTTTTTTTCCTAGTGTTCACAACTACTAATTCTGACTTTTTGTTATTGATTTCAATATCAATTATCTCATAAAACTTATTTGAGATATTTACTATCTTCTGCAGCTCATCTTTGGATCTTACTATTCAGGTTGTATCATCTGCATATGCTAGTATAGCTTGTTGGTATACTAATCTTTTAGTCTTGTTACAAGCTAAGCCTGTTAGCTAGTTTGTTGTCATCTGATATTCTATATTTTTTACAAAGAAGTAGATCATAAAAAGATGTGTCAGGCTAAGGGTGAGATTACTTTTTCTTGATCAAGTCTATCTTTAGCTTCAAATTCATTTGTTAGTTTAAAGCTTGTGATCATTTTAATTCTTTTTTTTTTATATAAGTTTAGTATGAAGCTAATATGTTTTCTGAGAGCTTGATTCTTTTTAAGGCTTTTTTAAGTATTTCTAAGCCTACTAAATCAAATGCTTTTCACATGTCTTAGAATAAGATCTATAACTTGTTATTTTTCTGTTTTGCATCCTTGAGCAGATTGTTTATTATATGAATTAGACTCATTATGCTGTCACCTAAAAGCCTAACAAAGTTAAAACCCACTAAGATATTAAAGTTTACTAATATTTTGTTTAGTCTATATATTAAGACTCTTACTACTATTTTGCAAAAAGTCTTAATTAATACAATTGGGCAAGTATTAGACAGATTATAACTCCAATTCTCTCTTTTGGATATTAAATAGAGTTGACTAAGCTTCTATTTAGTTAAGATTTCTCTTTTTCTAATGCAAAGATTAGCAAGGTGTTTGAAGACTTTTTGTGCTGTTGATCTTGCTTTTTTTTTTATCAGTAGATAGCTTATATCAGATAGATCTGGTGCTAACTTAGGCTTTGTATTTTTAAGTATCTTTAACTATTCTTTTTCTAAGATCTTGTCTTCTAAACTATCATATATCCTGCTATCTACTCTTTCTAATGAGTTATATATTTCTTTCTATCTCTTTGGCATAAATATTTCTTTTATAAAATTGGTTTTTAAAATAGTTTTTTACTTCTTCTAGTACTTCTTTTTTCTAATTCACTAGTACTATGTCTGAGTTGTCTTCCTTAATAATTCTATCTATTAGAGGATCTTTTAAGCAAACTGCTTGCTATACTTTTATATATAGAATCTTCTACTATATCTTTAGCTCTTCATAGCTTTTTTTTTTTTTATCTCTGATGCTAACATCTAGGGGCATGTGTGGCACTCTTTTATTAAGGTTATTGTTTAATTACATTTGAATAGATTTAAAAATCTTTTTAATCTTTTGAGAGCTATTTTTTAAACTATTGTTATAGGATAGATTTTAGCATAATTTATATTATATTTTTAATAGTTATATTTATTAGTATTTTAGTATTATTTCTTATATTTGTATTATTTTAGTATGGAAATTTTATAGTATAGAAATTTATAGAAAACATTCACCTCTAAGTGAAGTCCCTCAAGAAGCATTCAGATCGAAAATAGTTCTAAGTAACTTTCTAGATAAGAACCTTGGCTACACGATGATATAAGTTTTATTCGAAGTTATTATGTACGATACAGAAAAAACTCAAGTGATGGCTGATGTAACGTA